GCTACAGGGTAAGTACTGCATTGTGCCTTGAAGTTTGTAACTTATTCTGGTGTTCTGGCACTAAATGTGCCACTTGATGTTTCCTCAGCTGTACCTCAGCTGCCATATTTCTAATATTTACAGCTCGGTAAATCCTGTGTTGTGCCTTGAAGTTTTCAGCACGACAAAGATGCCAAAGTTTCCACAGCTAGATCTCTCTAATGTTTGCTGCAGGGTGAATCCTGCTTTGTTTCTGAAAATGCATGCCTGTTTCAGTGCTCCAGGACTGTAAGGCCTCATGCACATTGGGCATTTTTCACCTTTTTTTTTTTTCTACTTCTGGTATTTTTTTCTACAGCCAGTAGACTCCCCGGCATGTTATCCTATGTGTCCATGCACACATAAACTTTATTCAGCATTTTTTTAGCAGGGGAGTTTTCTGGCTGGAAAAAAAACCCCAGAACGCTCTAATACTGGTAAACATGGTAAAATGCATCAAACCGGCATTTGTTGAGGCAAAATGCTAAAAATTGCAGAAAAACTCTCGCTTTTATTTGCGACTTTATACATCTAACAGTGGTTTTTACAATACTCAGTGTGCATGAGGGCCTAAAGGTGACACTCAAAGTTCCTGTAGCTGAAACTCAGCTGTCAAATTTCTAATGCACAGCCAGGCATCTTCACAAAAGCTTGCATGCAGAGTCAGAAATCAGTGACTTGAACTTTGGTTTTGGTTTTATTTAGGGGATTTGTACTGGGGATAGGGTTAGGTGTGTACAGGATGCCCAAGGGAAACTGATGAAATTGAGAAAACTTCCTGGAACTATTTTCAAGCCTTCAATGCAACACAGTCTCTGTTGGAGAGCTAGCCAGCATCTCCTTAATGTACCACCTAGACCCTAGATGAACTTCTCTTCCTTCATCTGAAGGTATCCCTGAACATTGGATCCAGTTCCTGTCACTTTAATAGATGAACAGTCACTGGTAGGTTGCTAATATGGTTTCCCACCAGAGTGCTCCTTCCCCTATCCGCACAGGGGGTGTAGGTGTACTTACTCAGATCCTCTCCTGTACCGATTGTGGGTTGGTGGCTGCTAACAGGCCTATTAGCTGGGCCACTCCTCCCCTGCCATACAGGTGGTCCTCTCTCAGGGGGCCGGTAAGCTCCAGGTCTGTAGGTAGGTCCCATCCCACAAGGCCTCCTCACCAGCCTCTTTCCTTCAGCCTCACATCTTCCTCACTATCTTCCACCCAAAATCTCTCCTGCCACTGAGAAGGTTCCACCACTTTTAAAGGTGTCCTGGCCCATTTCCAACCTCCTGTTGAGGATTGGTCAAGATCCCTCAAAAGTGCAGCCAGCCATTCTTTAGATCCACCCACTGCCTCTAGAGCCTTCCTTTAAAGCCCTAGAGCAGGGGAAAATTCCAGAGGGGCTTGAACCTCTCAGCCTTGACCACAATTTGACCCCACTCTGGCTATTACACCTGGGCTGCTGCTCAGTCCCTGTCTAACCATTGGAGTCTAGCTCCCCCTAGCTACCTAAGAGAGTGCAACATGTTTGTTGTAGACTAAATCCTGCATTGTGCCTTGGAGTTTGTGGCCTATTCCAGTGCTCTGCCACTCTAATGATTATTTCAAGATAAAACCTGCCTTGTCTTTCCCTTCTATATTGTGGTCTAACCAAGCTGCTTACATACTGTGCAGCCACTGAACAATATTTGTGGCTATCATCACTAGGATAATACACTTTTTTTATCATTTTTAATGCAAGATAAAACTTACTACATCTCTTCTTCTTGCAGTCTAACCAAACTGCCTCTTCCTCCAATATTGTGGTCCAACTAAACTGCTTATATACGGTCCAAACACTGAATGATATTGGCAGCTATTGTCTCTTAGATCTATTGTCTCTTGCACGCTAATTTTTATTACAATTTAATACCTGCCTTGTCTCGTTTTATTTGATACCTATTCAAGTGCTCATGTACTATTTTGATACCCTGTTTCCCTGAAAATAAGACATACCCCAAAAATAAGACCTAGTACTGTTTTTGGGAATTGCTTTTTTTAAGCCAAAAAAATTATAAGACAGTGTCTTATTTTTGGGGAAACACGGGTAGTAGCCAATTTCTGCCAAAAGCATTCTTAAAGCAGAGCTCCACCCAAAAGAGGAAATTTCGCTTTAAGGCCTCTTCCCCAGCTCCTGTTTGTGAAATTGAGCATTTGGGTAGGAGGGGGGGAGCGGATACCCAATTTTGACAGGTACCCTCTTCCACTTCTGCTCTGACTGCCTAGGTGTTCGGAAGCAGAATCCCCCCCCCACACACACACAGTCTTCTGGGATATGTGACAGGTCCCAGAAGACTGCTGTACCATTCACAGTGCGCAGCGCCGCTCACGCATGTGTAGTGGGCACCCGGCTGTGAAACCGCAAGCTGTCACAGTCGGGTGCCCATAATAAATATGCCGGGGAGAGAGACACACAGGGTTAAAGCGGCTGGGTCTAGCACAGCACTGGAATGCAGGACAGGTTAGTGGCTGTTTATTAAAAGTCTGAAACTGCAGTTTTTGTAGGTGTGAGATGGGGAAACAGCTCTCATTGTTTGAATACTGCTTGTGTGGAGTAAATTAAATGTTTTGACTGACATTCTGCAGTTTAGCCACAAGATGTCACTGTTTTTCTAACACAGCCTCAGACTTCATAGATATTTCTATATTCATGAAGAGGTGGAGTTTTCACACAGAGTTGAGAGAGAACAGGAAGAAGAGAGAGCAGCCATGTTCTGGAGAATGGTGAATGAGGGGGGCCGTCAGAGCTGAGAATCTGATGACATCCAGGTGTGAGAGCATCCCTCCGTAACCAGAGCTGCAGCTAAGTGAAGCTGATGAGATTGCTGCCAGGAAGCTGATGAGATTGCTGCCAGGAATGCTGATGAGATTATTGCCAGGAATGCTGATGAGAGCAGAGGAACTAAGGAACATATACGGCAAGACTGCATGCTTGTTGGAGAGACATTTGTTCTGTTCAGAGTCACCAGTGGATGAAAAGCAGATTCGGGTCGGTAAGATCGTGCACGCACCTCATTTCAGTGTTGGCGCCTAGAGACTGAGGCCAGGCCTATAGTTAGTTAGTTAGGGTCTCTGTTTGTGTCAGGCCACAAGTGTTGTTACTGATCATTGGAAGAACTCCACATCTTAAAGTGACATTTCACATTGGAGAGCTGATAAAATCCTACAAAACTCGAGCCAGACTGGCATTTTGCTCAGAAGGAATACTCTGGCACGTGCTACAGGACCAGTTATGGGAGGGGGAATACTGTAGATTTGTGTAAGATTGTAAGCTGTTGTGCTGCACCGCAGGCTAGCCTATACCATACACCCATACACTGATTCCTGCTCTTTTAGGGTAATAACGGGTAAGGTGTGGCAGCTTAGTTGTGCCCGCCAGTAGGTAAATTACTACTCTTTCTACCTTCATCATCAGGAGGCGCCGTGCTGTGCAGCACAAGGGTCTCAGCCTTTGGGCTGGGTGTATGTAAATTTATTGTATGTTCCCAGCATTTGTGGTTGTGTTTATTTGCCACATCTAAGTAAAATTCTGTTGTGGCAAAAGCTGGTGTTGGGGTTGCTTTCCTCGTTCGTGACTTCACTGTATCCTGGGGAGCCCACCCCGGTTCACAGCCTACATAGGTGCTGACTTTTAATTTTTACTTAGGAGACTGGAGCTTTGCTTTAAAGTATATATTTTAAATGTTTGGGAAATAATTGAGAATGCAGGCATGGGAAGGGCTTAGGGGAATTTGGGGCTGTGGTTATGAAGTGGTTTTGTGCAATCTGTTTTGACATTTTTTTTTTTTTACTTTTAGGACAATGCAGTTTGCTACGGCAAAAAAAGTAGCATGTTTACACACTATACTATCACCTTGCATGAATATGAACATATTAAAATTATCCCATCTATGCTGGATCTTTCTGCCAGCAGCCAATTGCTGCGAGCGCTGATCAGTATATTCTGGCAGGGGAGAATCCAATGGGAGAGATCCCAGCATCAACACTGCTTGTGTTGATGCACAGATCTGTCAGTTTTTGTTTTTCGTTTAACCCACTGTTTGAGCGAACAAAAACTGTGTGTGTATACCCAAACTTCCCTTTAAGACCCTGATCCCAAACTTTAATCTAGTTTAGTTTTACTTTATTAGTTTAGTTTTTATTTTTATTAGTTAAAATTGCTTTATAGACACTAGTTACTGTTTGCACCATTTTGTTACTACTGTGTTAAGAACATTGTAGTGGTTAATTATTTTCTGCTAGCATGATTAACCAGTTCCCACCCAGCCTATTGTCAAATGACAGCCAGGTGGGACATGCGCCATTCTGAGTGGACATCATATGATGTCCTCCCCGGGCCATGCTGTGGCACAATCTGTCATCCACTATGTCCACTGGACACAGTTTACCATCCGCTGCTGTTACCATGTTATCACTGTGACCAATCACAGCAGATCACATGACAATTGAAGACAAAGGATGGTGTTCATTCATGCCATCCATTGTGTACTATTGTGTTGATCTCTGTGATTGGTCATAGTGATCACATGATACAGACAGGGCAAATCACATCCCATCTGCATCATGTGATTAGCTGTGGCCAATAACAGCTAACCACAATAGTAAGCATTGAATGAATCCATTTCATTCAGTAAAAATGGTTGCTTATACCAGTGAAATTCACTGGTACAAGCAATCATAGTATGTAAAAAAAAAATCCTGATCTTTTCCTCAGAGTAGTACAATGTTACTTTTGTTAACACTGTATCGCTCTGGTCACAGTATGTTAAAAAAAAAAAAAAAAATTGAATAAAGAAAAAAAAAATATATTATTATTTTATTTTTATTTTTTTGCATACTGTCACCAGTGTCTCTACTCCTCCAGAATGAATGACTACAACCCTAGCTCTGCAAGGTGGGAATGTTAACCACAGTGGATCATCGATCAATGGAAAGAGCCGAAGATTTTGGCTCGGTCATGTGATCAGCTGTATCCAATCACAGCTGATCGCATGTAAACAGGGAAATGCCAGTTATCAGCATTTCTCTCCACTCGAGCTGTCACGCTGACAGCTCGAGAGGAGAGGAGAGCCAGTAATCGGCTTTACTCAGAGGGGACATGTACACTGATCATCAGGGCACTGATGATCAGTGTGCCCTGGTGATCAGTGTAGCCCCCAGCAGCGCCACCTGTCAGTGTCCATCAATGCCAGCTGTCAGTGATCATCAATGCCACCTACCAGTGCTTATCAGTGCCTCATCAATGCCACATATCAGTGCCTACCACTGCATATCAATGCCACATATCAGTACCCATCTGAGCTGCCTTTCAGTGTCACCTATCAGTGCCAGTTAGTGCCGCCTATCAGTGCCCATCAGTGCTGCCTATCAGTGCCACCTTACAGTGCCAGTCAGTGCTGCCTATCAGTACCACCTATCAGTGCCATATATGAGTGCTACCTTTCAGTGCCCATCAGTGATGCCCCCTGTTCTCCCAGCCACCAGGCCGCTATAAGCTGCCGAACCATATTGATCGGGTGAGAGAGTCCCAAGTATCCACTAAGTGAACATTGACAGTTTCATTACCTCAGCTATCTACTTGCACATAGTTGTGAACATTATATATAGTTGCCCCAGGTTGTGGCCTAGTTCTCCCAGCCACCCCTGTTAGGATACATCTGCATCACAGTCTCATCATCCAAGCTGACCGCAGGGCATACAGTTGCAGGCCAGAACAAAGCAGTGCCAACTGAAACAACAAGTTCCCTTTTCCAGCAGAGCGGGATTCCTACTACTGTTACCTTTGGCCATGACATCCAGAGAGAGTTATCCTTGCCCATAGACACTTATGCCAATTGTTACCCTCCACTATTTCAAGTCTGCCTGTTATCTAGTACCTTTAAAGGAACCCTACACTAATTCACTACCAGCAAATGGAAAAGTGTTAAATCCTTCCCTTCTTCCTTAATATTGTTGTGGTACCGTTTTGAGGAAATATCATCTACACCTTAATTCCATTTCATACCAGCTGGGCCCTAACAAGCACACATTTTTAAAGGGACAGTGATCAAATATAAATGAGAGCTCTCTTCACTTCACATTTAATCCCTGTCGCCCAGTTCTGAGGACCCACAGTGAGCTTACCTGTTTGATAGTTGTTCTTTTTCACTGGGGATTCAACAGTCTCCTCAGATTGGAAGCATCGGATTATTTCTGAAAGCAGGCCTGTTTACAGTTACGGGTATTTAACTGTGAATGCTGTTACATTTACTTAAAATTGACAAGAATGATTATCTTTGCTGCATATACCCATGTTATTCTGTTCTTTTTGGCTACGTTACATCCAATGCCAAAATGAATGTTGTGGTTTATTGTGGTCTCAAGAGTACGGTAATGTCAGTAGAGGTTTGGTTTTCACAGGGAAGTCCAGACTGACAGGGAACCCAAAAATTACTAAGCAACCCTTAAGGGGGTAGTGCTACATTTATATATTTAGACAGATCTCCACAACAAAGCTAATAGAGGAACATATGAATAGAGAGAAGCTGAATTTGGTTCCAAAAGAGTGACTATCTCTTCAGCTGGACCATTGAGAGGTATGACAGGATGAGTGACCTTCAGCAGTATTTGTAGTGTAGACACTTTAAGGCCAGGTCAGATTCACTCTTTTTGAATGTTGGTAGATGCTGTACATGGAGCTGTTTATAAGTATTACGCCAATACTTTTTCATTTTACAGATACTGCTGGAGGAGTGTTCCAGGTGCCAAATTTGCTGCTTTTGTAGGCTTACAGCTTCAGAAATAGTTTTTATGCAATACAAAATTTCCAAAGTAAACTATTTCAAAGAAGGTGCCAATATTCTATCAATTATTCCTTAAACTTTGAGTGGCACACTTTATTTACCCCGTTAAACCACACCCTCCATGCAATTACAAAAGCTGTCTGCAATGCTTGTTTCAATTTGAAAGTCCGCAATGCTCTTCTGTGATTGTAAGCTGCACATCTTGTACGACAGATGTACACACCACTGGGAACAGATCACAGAACTTCTGGGTGCCATGCTGTGAGCTGGTAAGGTCTAGCACTCATTAAGAATTTATGGTGTTCTGAGCAATACAAAGGGGCATTTTCCACACACGACGCAGATCTACAGGCTGCTATGCATGCAGGTTTTGTATCACAGATATATTATATAGAGAGGTACAAGCTATTCTATAACCTTCACATGACTTTTTTCTATACTTTTTGCAAACTTTTTAACAGGAAAGTCAGCAAAACTACACAAATAAAAAAATATAAGATTATTAAAAAAAAACATGTCAAGATGCTTTATCAGCCTGGTTCACATTTGTGCAGGACGTGTGGCCTGCGTTTTGCAGACACGGCAGCCCATTCATTTGTATGGGGCGCTGTGCCTGCATTTTCTGCAAAAAAGGTGTTTGAAACTTTTTAAAAATGCAGCTGCAGGGAAATCACATGGACTTTTTAACCATGCTATTTTTCTGCGGTTTCCACACCCACAAACACGCTGCAGGCTGAGATGCATGGGGGTGCCATTTAGAGTGAATGGCAGCCTCACGCATCTCATAAGAGCAGCACAATTCAGCTGCTGTTGGATGCGGGTCTGGGAAAAGATGCGATTCCCACACCAACAACCAGCCCGCACAGTGTGAACCAGGGCTTAAGGTATATGTGAACTCTCAATTTTGTAAAACAACTTATTCAGTTTAAAATAGAAATGGAAGACAATCATTTGTATATAGGTATGAAAAACATTATAAATACCTTTTTTCCCTGTTTTTATAAGTGATCACATACTCTCTAAGCTCCTTATGCAGCTGAGAACAGAGATCTGGGTGAGGACAAACAGCAGAACACTGAACTTGCCAGTGAATAGCTGTGTGGAAAGGCCAGAGCTCGAGATGTGGGAGCCGGCCGCCCAAAGATGTCAGTGGATAAACTCAAGGTGAGTATAGTTCCAATTAAATTAAAGTGGAACTATCAACTGTTAAAAAAAAGTGGAACTACACTTCATCTGAGCACCACAAAGTGAAAATGATATTTAATTCATTTTTAATTTTCAAAGCAAACTCTCCCATCCATCCATGTCTCCTTGCTTTATTTTGAGTGAGAAATCATGTTGAAAAACACCCCTTAGCATTTCAGGCCGTAGCCATCTTGAGTAAGAGCAGATAATTCATGTAGCCATTACTTCCTGGAATCCATCTGCCCTAAGCTCAGGCAGGGGGCTGTGCTTAGCTGAGAAAACCTTTCCTCCCTACTTCCCCTTCTGAACACTCCTGGGATGTATGACATAATTTGACTAGGCCTGGAAACCAGGGAGGAACTGAAGAAATATAAAAAAAAATATGTTTAAAACAAGTAAACATGATATACTTTCATATCTATTTACTAATGCTAGCAACATAAGGATTACAAATAGTCAGTGTTGATTGGCAAAGTGAAGTTCTGCTTTAACAAATGCTTACTAGCCAATCATATTATCCCTGATACATTTTCTACCTTAGATTTTCCTTAGATCTGAATCTGGATGGTTAAAATCTGACAACACAGAGATTTCTCATACCAAACACTTTATTAACCTCCTTAGCGGTGTTCCTGAGTGTAGCTCGGGGTAAAATTTCTATACCAAAAGCGGTAACCCCGAGCTACACTCGGGCTTACCATGCGGCGCTGCTCGGGGGTCCCTGCAGCACTTACCTTGTCCTTCGCTCCCACGATGTGTCCCCTCCAGCGTCCCCGGCCATCTCCTCCGGCCGATGCCGGCATCCGACTTCTGTGTTCCGGTTCCTGTGACGTCGGGACGTACGGGCGCCGGAACCGGCGGGAAATTTGAATTTTTTAAAAAATTTCATTTTTGCTGTCATTGCTATTTCAATGCATTTCACATACATTTTGTCCCTACTGCTTTGTCCTGTGCCCTGCCTGCATTTTGAATGTTCTTTCTGCCTGGAAACTTAGAAAAGTCCATGGCGTCCAAAAAGCGTCCCTTTACGTCAAAAGCGGTTTTAGAACAGCGATAGTAAATCAGAACCACTTGCAGAATTGAGTGATAATGATTTGTGGGGAAATTCGTCATCAGACACTGAAAACAATTTTGCGACTTTGCTCAGCGATGTGCGAATTTGCCTCTGTATTTCAAATTTCAGTGTTTTTGGTTTGATTTATATTATTGAATTAAATTTATTATTATTATATTATTATTTTTAATGATTATTTATTAAATTATAATTTATGATTTCGTGTTTCAAATTTTATCATATCCGGAATGTTTAATAGACTCTTGTTCGGACAGATTTCAGTGAGTTATTCCTAAAAATTACAGCCTACAATAAAAACTACATATTTCCATGCAAAAAAATGGTACCGCTTTCAGCACAAAAAATCGGAAAGAATCATACCACCAAGGAGGTTAATGTCCAAGACTGATTTATAAAACCTTGCGCAAAAGAACATTGAGATGATATTCATCAAATCAAAGTTTTAGCTTTGGTTGATAGATAAATGATTTGTTTTGCAGTTTTCTTCAGTCAGACCCAATGGTCATTAAAACAATAAAAGAGAAAAATTCCCAGCTTCATTTACCAACTAGCTTGCAAACAAACCGAATTAGCCTGCTTAACAATATGCATTAAAAACAGGGGTTTAGTTAGCACACATTTGCAAACACATGCGTAATCTGCAGAGCCTCTTCATGGTACCCTGATATTCTGCAGTTCCTAACTCCACAAATGTTGAAAGCCCCCATAGTAGAAGCACATATATTTAATAGATAGACTGAGGATAGGTGAACCTGAAGGAGCCCACCCCTCCTTAAAAGTACAGGAGCGCACTGGACACCCAGCATACAGCACAATGGCAGCCAAGGTGTCCAGTGCGCCCACTCACCAACAAGTCAACAGTACAAGAAATGACCACTGTCCCAGTCTATAACTGGTCTTCACATCAAGGATCACATGGAAGGGCAACGCATGTCAAACAATAAATGTGAATCAGCTTCTAATTTCAGCTTGTTCAATTAAGCTTTGGCAATAAAACCTGGAAGCTGATTTGTTTCTATGCAGAACTGCACCAGATTTTGCACTTTCCAGCTTTTTTAAATTTCCTCCTTTAAGTTTATCTCCCTGTGGTCACACAACTCAAGCTGATGAAGGAGGAGCAAGGGAGTGCCTTGCCATCCTAGGCTCTGGCACTGTCTGTTTCTATTGATGCACACAGTGTAGGGATACACAAGTCTAGCCCCTGCATGCAAGGTTAGCTCCGTAGGATGCTGCAAGAGAAAAGTGTAATTCTGAAACAGGAAACCTAGGTAGGATGTCATGGCACCAGCTTAATGGAGGTGATTAAATCAGCTGCTTAAAGTGATTCAGAAATGTGAGGGTTTA